AGGTCAAACATGAGCAAACGGGGCCTTCTCCGGGACACAAACGGGTTCAAGAAGCACCTGGAGATGGATTAAAGACGCGCCACCTCTTTAGAGTCTCTAATCCCCTCCAAAAAAGTTGTAGAATCACGTTGTGTTTGTATCTGCCCCCTCCCATCCCCAAGCCACTAGGGCACGGTGAAGTACGATGTCACCTACCACCCTCCACAGCTTTGAAGATAAAAGCCATTTTTAAGACATTTTTTATAAAGCAAAGGGAATTTTTGCTAAAGGATTTGATTTGAAGATACTCGGAAGTCAGGTATTTAAAAAACCAACCAACCAAACAAACAAAAAACAACAAACCACAACAATACGGAACTGAGCGAGCTGTAAGTATGTTTGGCCAAAGTTCCCTGCTGACAGGATGGAAAAATCTTGGAACTCAGAGGCAAGATTTCTTACCACGCCTAACAGAACCCGTAAAGCACATTCCTGTCACTCTGAGTTACGCTCCCTTCCACGTGCTAACGGTTACCTGTGTAATATAAAAGGAAATATATCGTTGCTTATGCTGTCGTGCCATGGCAGCGCAGCCGACAGCCAGGCGCGGGGGGCAGGAGCCCAGTGGCCCTCGCCCCCTCAGCTCCGCGTGAGCTCGCCGTGACACCCGGAGAATCCTTTGGATCCCGGCTCAGCACCCCTCCGGCAGGAGATCGCTGTGCAAGGATCCCAGAAGCGCCGCGAGGGAGCCCCGGGGAAACCCCAACTGATCAAAAAACATCTAGAAGAGTGTCGCGGATGAAAGTATTGACACGGTAATGATTTAGTAAAAATAACCTAGATTTATTAATAGCTAACAACAATTAGTCATTGCAAAATAACTCAGACAGAAAAGCGACTTATTCAGATTCTAAAATGACAAGATTCGCTCCAACTTACCTAACGGTACCTTAATTTATACACATATGTACATGAACATACACAAACCAGACATATACATGCAGAAACAAAGGTGTTTGGATTCAGTAAAATGAACACAAAAGGGACAAACACACACAGGAACAAGGACAAGGGCACGCACCCTCACACACCCCAATAAACGGGGAAAGAATGGGTGAAATAGAAGCTGGCTCAAAGCAAATTTCCCTCTCGAGTTTAGAGCAAATGCTCCCAACGGCTTGGCATCCCTCAACGGGTGATAATTGAAACTCGAGCGGGTGGACTTGGCCCCCGGCCTTCGGTCTGGAGCAGACGACACCGTAAGGGTTTTGGTACCCGAGAGGCGTCCCGGCTCAGGGGAGATGCTGGTCAGCGGCGATCCAGGAGAGCTCAAAGGGTCTCTCTGGTGGTCGCAGTTTATCGGGTCCAAGATAATTGACTTTTGTCAAATACTATCCGGTGCCTTCGGGCAGTTGCACAAGAATTTGATGAACGTGCAACCCTGTCATTGTTCCACCCGACCCCATCCCAGGCACAGGTGTGCCAGGCCACCAGGCGATGATGGGCCATTATAACCTTTTCCGAGCCATCAGAGGGGGGCCAAGAGCCAGGCTCCTCAAGGTTATCAGTCCTTATCTCCACAGATCGGTGTATGGCTCAAGGGGGATGTGGATGGAATCACACCTGGCACCAAGCAGCCCAACAAGGAGGGCAGGGAGGGGTAAGAACTGCACCACCGCAAAGCGTTCGATATCAAAGACATGATCCTGCCCCTCAGGATGCCGTGGTACCTACCTCATGCTTCACTTAAACTAAATGCCGGAACACCGGCAAATTAAGTGATCTGCCCGTTTAAAAGGCAAAAACGGTTTTGAAAAGTCTTCAAGTGGTCTGAGCAGGGTACATTACGTGGGAAGTGTCTCCTAAGAAATACTTATTATTATAACAGCGCTTAGCACTTCCACAGGGCTTCCCAGCCTCCCAGCACTGTACAAACATTAGCTTCTTAATCACTCATTAGGGACGATCCTATAGAGCTGGGCCATGCCTCATTGAGTAAAGTCATCCCCAACTCGCTCAGTCCCTCTTGCTCCCTCCAGAGACAACTTTGAAGGTTCTCTGGTTCCCACGAGAAGTTCAGAGCAAGCAAGGCAAAGGCTGTTCGGAAACGAACAGCGGCAGCGTCCCCCTGCCCCCAAACTGCCCCGTTTTTTTGGAGAAAGAGGCAGAAGTGAGCATCATCCCAGTCGGAGACCTGCTTCCATTAAAACCTGGAATTAATAAAGTTGGGAAATTCGGGAAGGCAGGAGGTAGCAGCCTTTACCAGCGCTGTGGGCTTGCACCCGAGGACACAAGCTCTTGTTGCAAAACAGGGCTAAGGAGGGATGGAAAAAAGCCGCAGGAATGACAAGTGTGTTCCTACAACCGGCCAATTTATTCTTCTGGCCGTAGCTATATGGATTGCCTCCACGCATCAGCCACCTGTGCTGCCTGCCAGGAGCAGCTCTCGGTCACTCATCTGGGTGACAGCAGCACCCCGAGGGGCCGTGATGGGCCAGGCTCCGTAGCAGCACATGGGAGGAGGGTGCCTGCTCCAGGGACATCGCTGCCTGAACAGACAGGAGAGCGTGGAAGAGAAAAGGGGCACAACAAAAGTGCGGTTGTGCCCACCCGGAGAAGCCAAGGCAAAGTGAAAAGATGAAAATCAGTTCATGCAATCTTAAAAGTTTCCACTTCTCCCACAAGGATGCTCCAATCCAGAAACCAAGGCTGTCTGACACGCCCTTTAGCTTAATTCACTTCTCAGAACTACTGATTTAAACTCTCTCAGGTGGCTGACTTCATATTCACCAAAAAAAAGTAGTCACGGTGCCTTCTACCAAAAAAAAAGTCACAGTGACTTCTACCAAAAAAAAAAAAAAGTCATAGCGCCTTCTACAAGAAAAAAGAAAAGATCGTGATGCTGTCTATTAAAAAAAAATCATTGTGCCTTCACCCTCTGTAGGGAAAAAAGTAAGCAAAGAAAACAAGCAAATACAAAAAATTCCCTAACTAAACAACAAAAAAAAATCGGATAGTAAGTCATCACCGAAATTCAAAAACCCAGAGGAAATCGCAACCCCGATCCATATCCATCCCACTGGCAGATATCTAGAGAAATTCGTTCTGATGATGCCTCTACAGATCATGGCAGGGTAAAGAAAATGTCTCAAAAACCCTGCGTTCAGCCTTTTTTTCCCTTTAATAGTAGTTTCAGACTATTAACAGCCTGCATCTATAGCCAGCCAGAATTGCTCAACTTCCATCCGGAGCGAACACACACCAAGTCAAGCCCGTGATTTGCTGTTACTCAGCTCTCCTCCCAGTTTCCAAGAACTAACACCTCATTTTAATGTAACTGCTCTCCATGCCAGCTTCTCCTCCCTCCTTTTTGTAGTATGTAATTTTCTGTGTTATCAATCTCCTCGCCATTCACCCATTCGGGCAACTTTCCACCGAGCCTGGCATTTCATCTGTGTCTGAAAACTTCCAGCGGTGCCAAGTGTTTGCATACCTTGCAAGTGTTATGTCAAACTCTACCCCTCAGAGCTGCCAAAAACCACCACTCAAAGTTAGCAAAGCAAATACCTCCTTAGACAAGCTTAATAAACACGCCAGGAGAAAACCCTAGACTTCATAAAGACATTGCTCGCCTGATGGGGCCAAGCTTGAGGTCTTCAACACGCTTTCATGTCCCATTTAGGCCAACATCCATTATCCTTGTCACACGTTCTCCACCCGCACTCCGCGTAAGTGCATCATATCTGAGCACACAGATTATTTAAAACGACCAGTCCCGGCCTCCACACCTCCTTTCATGCTGCAATTACTAGCTAACTATCAGGCTAACCTTGTCTCTAATCAGTCTAAACAAAGCTGTTTATTTTATAGCCTGAATCAACGCGTACAGCAGATACGCCGGGTGGTTTGCGCTGCGCAAAGCGGCTGACTTTGGTGCCCATCGGGTCTTATGGCCTCAACTGAAATAAATCCTCGTATTTCTTTGCGTTTTTGACTAATGGCTACCAATTCACTAACAAGAGTGGGAGTAGACACGAAAGAGTACATTGAGCAGAGAAAGGTGGAGAAGAGGAGGGACGGAAGCGGAGAAAATGAAAGAGGAAGGACAACGGTGGGGGGATAAGAAAGCACAGAGGGGGAAAGTGCAAGGGAAGTAAAAGGGGAGGAGGAAACAAGATCTGTGGGAAGTGGGAGATTGAGAATCTGAGACTAAAGCAGTTAAGCCTTCACTAGGGCCCAGAGATAACCCCTGAGAAGATCAGAACAATCTCAGCTCTGTAGGCTTCAGTTTTAATAGCGCAACGCAAATCCATCACTCCTAAACTGCCGCCGCAAGCAGATGTGAGCGTCGCAGCAACTCTTTGGCCAGAAACCCCCCCCTCATTGGACACTTAATGCTTTGGAAAGGACCCTTGGCCTCGGATCCCAGCTCCCTGCCACCGCTCAGTTGGGAGCACTTCCACGCTCGCGGGAAGAAGGAGCCCCAAATTCCCAGGCACTAGAATATCTAAAAAAAAAAAAAAAAGGCTCTAGAAGATCTAAAAAAAAAAAAGGCTTTCCAAAGCAAAGCACTTTCAAGAGGTCTCATTTTCAAAGGGTGAGCGGAGACAAGGTTTGAGAAGACACAGCCCCTCTGAAGCGCGAGGCTGAGCACCCAAGAAGAAACACACCCAAAAGTCACACGTTAACTTTGGGAAACACTAGTCGCCGGGTTAAATTCTGCCCTTTTCCGTCACCGCTGTCAATCCAAAATAGCACAACCAACTCCAGTTTGCACCAAGATGATCAATATGTACATTTAACCAGCAATACGAAATTAAATTCAGGATCACCACAGCATTTTATGGTCATTGACAAAACAGATACCAGTCAACAAAAAAAAAAAAAAAAACAAAAAAAAAAAAAAAACAACTCAGAACACACCTCCTGCATTATGAGATGGAGGAAAGACAAGGCAGTTGTATTAGATTGCGCTTACCTTTCGATCTTCCGAAGAACTTCAAAGAGCATCAGTGACTTACCATCATCCTGGAAGTCTGATGGAAGTGAAGCATCAGATGTCATGGAAGGGGCCAAGCTCCAGCTCTGATTTTCATCAGAACTGTCCTGTCCAAAGCCAGCATCATGCTGATCCTCTCCTAGAAAGAGGAGGAGAGCCTGATTTTAGTGACGAGGACACATTTCTAAACCCAAATCGTATTGCCTACACCATGAGACGTGTTTTCTTTCTGTTCCCACCTTCCACTGAAGTTCTCTACAAAACCCATAACGACTTCCGTGGGGTTAAGGCCAGATTCATCATTTAGGACCAAGGCAGCATATTCCTGCTGCAAGAACGCTCATGCTGGATATGTACAGACTTCACACCTGGAAGACACACGGGGACGAGGCTGAAAATACCAGTCTCAAGGCCAAACTACTAGAGCTACGTCCAATTCCTCCTTCTTGCTTCTCAGCACATGACCTCTGCATAAACCATCCATCTGTAAAATGGAGGACCACATGACCTGCTTCGCTAGAATGAAGAATTTCCTATATTTTAGGGAAAAGCTTTGAGATCCTGAATTGAAGAGCGATAGGGGAAAAAAAAAAAAAAAAAGATTGACTCCCTATGACAAGCAGGCACATACAAATTAAGCAAGCAACATGTCTGTGTAAGCTACTACCTCCCCAGACTTGATGTTGCACCGAATTTTTCTGTAAGCAGATGTTTCGCTGGGGAATTTGCTACCGATATTAGATCTCACGCAGAAGGTACTCGAGATAGCGCAGTGACAGGTGTTAATATCAAATTTTAATATAAATGGAGTGCAGCTAGCCTACCTGTAGAAAAAAAAATACTACTCACCCTAAACAAAGGCAAAAAGTGGTCTTTCAGGCTTTTTGCCTCACATTTCCTGAATACACACAGCCGAGACTGCTGATAACAGAGGTAAAGACAGCTGCTTACTCATTCAACACACAACAAACAGCAAGAAAGGTGAGTTTTCAGCTGATGTTAATTGCGTTCAAACACTAAAACCAAGTTTTATCTCAGCAAACAGAGGAACGGTGCCCCGCGGTTTAAATCAAGCACCGATGAAAGGGTAGCAAGGCCTGGAACGGAGGGTGACAACGTTCTTCCTCCCACCAAGGAACACAGTGGAGACGCCATTCAGTCTCCACCTGCACAAAGATGTGACACAATGGTTTGGATGTGTTTTATTTTCAACACCCCGGGTTGCAACCTTCCCTTGCTCGCTCTGAGCGTGAAGCTCTCGGAGACGCCAGGCTCCTGCATTCAAGGGCACATTTTCAAGGAAAAACTTTAATTCTTCATCGAAAGGAACAATCTGGCTGTGAAGAGCATAACCCGTACAGGATTGTCCTCCCGCCGTCCTTAAAAAAAATAAATCTAAAACCCAAATCACACTGGGTGCCAGACACCGTGATAGTCTTGCTGATGTTTTAAGCCAGAAGGTCTTGGAAAACTGATTGAAGATTTGACTTTAAGATTTAGCAAAGGCCTACGGGGGTCAGTGACAGAACAGAGGGGTCCCTGGCAGCCCACCCTTTAAGCCACTACAACTTTCCCAACAGGGGAAGAGCCCAAGAAGTAATCAAATCTTTTCCCAATCCTATGCTCACTCGCTTCCGCCATCCCAGCACGCAGGGTGTGGAACATCAGATTCCGGAGAAAAAAGAAATACAGAAAATAACTTTTCTCCTTTTGAGAGGTGCATCATTCAGCATCTGCACTGCTAGTCTCTCATGCCAAGAAGTAAACTGCAGGTCCGTGGCCCAAAAGGGGCAGGCTCTGCTCCCTCCTGCGAGACGAGGCATCAGCAGAGGTGGTACCGCAGCACTCTTTCATCCACGGACTAAAGAGTAAGCAAAGCACGTTCCTCTACGCTACTACAAACTGAAATTTATGCATGCACCTCCACGAAGCAGAAAAAAAAAAACAAACAAAAAACCAAAAAACAATTAGGGGTTAAAAAGCAGAGCCTGAGATGCCCCGCTCCACTGGCCAGACTCCGGGAAGCCGAGCGCATCCGTGAGCGCCCCACCGACTGCCTGACCTTGGAGAAGTCATTTCAGCGCTTTGCTCAGTTGTGTGTGACCAGGGGATGTTTCTTCCCTGGTTTACTGTAGCACTTCGAGATCCTCAAATAAACAAAGCTCTAAAAAGCCTGGATTAAAAAAAAAAAAAAAAACCCACAACACTACCGAACTGCAACTCGATGTTGTAGGAAAACACGGTGTTCATTCTAATGAGGAGCCTTCCTCCGTGCCGCGCTGCAGCGTTGCGGGCTCGACTACCCGCAGTGATGTGAAGATGCCAGCATCATAAGACACTTTCCAGAAGCCCGTTCAGCCCCTTAAAAAGAACATTTTCTTTCAACCCAACCGCCACCCGATTAAACCCAGCTTTTCGAAGCAACACCGAGGTAACAGGTGGTCCCCTATAACGAGATACAGGTGCAGGATTATTGCGATAACGAGCAAACTGCTCCTGGTTCGTGAGGAGCAGGAGGCAGCGCGGTGCAGCCGCCGCGCCGGGGAGGCACAGCTCACGCCTCGCCGCGCGGCTGCACTAAACCGTTTGGAACAAGAACAAGGGCCCAATCAGGAAAGTTACGTGCAAGAATAAGTCACTGGCTTTAACAGCGGGAGAAGCTGTTTACACGCATCAACCACGGGGTAGAATCGAGGCACAGGTCCCTCTTTTGGCAGAATAATTCCCAAGGATGAAATAT